ATGGACATTCTTAAAACCCAAAGTTTGAAAAAAAGACATAAAAAATATCAAAATTATTTACATTACGCCCAAATAAATGGAATATTTCAAACTTTAAAAAGAAAAAAACAACGAAAAGAGTTACATTTGGCAGCAAAGTATTAGAAAGATTTAGTTCAAGAAGCTTTAGAGCTCTTAAAACACGGTGAAAAAACAATGAAAGTATGGCATATGTAAATTAAATCCTCAATTAACAACTTGAGTAACCTAAATAATTAAAGCTTTAAGCTCTGCATGTAAAATTATTATTTATGCGCAAAGATCTTGTCAGCACTTACGGCACACTTCAACAAATGTTAAACACTCTAGCTCCTTATACAGGCGTATGGAACGCACTGAGATTCTATTTATGCACGAATGATGTATATCTATTTATACCATTAATATATTCTTAAAATCACCACTTAGGATAAGTTCACAATTTAAATTCATAGAATAAATTTATTTTTTTTATTTTTATTTTTGTTAGCTCATATCATGAATATACAGACGCGTCTTAGCTCGGCGCAACACGGCGTATGAGTAACCAAAAGCGTCAACTTTTTGCATTGATTGCATTGAGCTGGAAATAATTATTTTCAAGTTCTTTAAGTCAAATAGAAAGTATTATCATGACTTGTTTTAAGATTTGCAGAAACAAAAATAGCGATGTCTAAAATTAACTTAATTTGTTTAAAAATAATTTAATTAACTTTGAAATACGTAAAAAAAGGAAAAAAGCAAAAATTATTGTTTGCGTAGCTTCTTTGATGAGTTGTATTTAATCTAAATAATTTTTAGAAGAGATGGAAACTTTTCACACACTTCGGTAAATTTTACAGACTTTTTTGCTGTTTAGATATTCAAAATGTTTCTGAATAATTTTGAATTATCCTCAATGATAATTTTTTTAAAATTTCATTGACACGTTTCCCACAAATATGAGCAAATTTAACTGCTGGCGAAATTTAAATGAATAATTGAAGTTCTTCCGAAAACATTATATCCGATTATGACCTTTTTATTCCGAAATATACATCTTTTTTACGACTCCTTATAGTGGGTAGGCGAAAAAGTCTTTTCGTATTTCTAATCAAATTTTAACTAACTTTTTTATATTTGTAATAATAAATAAATAAACAAACAAATATGTACCATTTTGGTTGACCACTTTTTGCCATTTTAACCATTTAATATCTTCATTGGTGTGATTGCATGTTTTTTATTGTTCTTGTAGCAGTATGAAAATTTTTCAAATATTTCTTCAGTAATTTGCCGACAGTTCTTGACTAGGTAAAAACAAAATACCGCAATTTATCAATCCTAATACCTCCTTTGTTGCATTCCATTAGTTTTGCTATTCTGCTGTCTGCCAACTTGATTATATAACCTCACTTATTCACAGTTGCACTCAACATATTTTCATATTAAACGTCTTAATAAATTTACTAAATAATTTTCGCGGGATTTTTGACACATTTTACATACGTTATGATGGCAATTTAAAGAGCAGTAAATCGTTGAAGATTAAAAATTGGTAAGTCACTTTTTTGATAATCCAATTTAAATTTTTATTTAAGGTATCGGTAGATGTAAATGCAGAATTGTTCAACCGAGACATTAACCAACTTTACTACTCCTCTTATTTTAAAATTACTTAGTTAATGAATAATTGGAAAAAAAATTAAAACTCACTTACCTCAAAACCTTTGCTGGGAAAATTTATTTTCGGCCAAGCGAGCGTGGCAAACATCAGGTGCCATGCTGCAAATCCAAATTGCAAATAAGGGTAGACGGTATAATTTTGTAAATGATTTATTTGATGCTGTACTGTATCGTTGAAGCTAAACCACTTTGTTGCCTCTACAACAGCAGTCAAATTGGGATCTGGCATTTTCTGATGTAAGTAATTTTCAAAAACGCCTTGTGTGAGACTGCCGAATAATAAATAGTTATTAATTTATTTTTTCATTTTACAGGATTATTACCGTTCGTAATCACCGCCGCCATGCACCACATCCAACACGTTTCTAACGCGTGTACTCGTTGACATATCTGTCATAGTGATTTCAACATCCTCCGTATTGTCATTGAGTTTGGATTTCTCCAATTGCTTGCGAGGACGTTGTATCTAAAAATAAAACAAAAAAAGTTATATATACAAAGCAATGCTTATTATACCAATAAAAAAACGTACCCTAAATACTGCACCCCAAACATCGAAGAGGCCTTGTTGACGATCCTTTTGCCCCAAGTTAGCGTTAAGTACATCTTGCAGTGTCAACGCTTTCTTCTGAGCACTAGCAAATTTAAAATATAAAAAATATTAACACGTACATACATATATACGGAAAATAAGCAATTTTGTGTTATTTACTTGAAAAACTGTAACGTTGAAATGCAGCAACGCACATCATTTCCTGACTTCTCCGACATGGCATACAATGCACTAAAATCAGTTTTTAAACGTTCTCTTTGCGCTATCTGAAGTAATCTAAACAAAAAGGAAAAATATTTGTAGTTAAATCGTTTAACATTACTAATTAAAAGTGCTTACCTTTCTGTTAATCTCGTGGTTTCGATAGGTGGAAATGTTACAACAAAGGCGATTTGTCGCAACGGTCTCAACGCTGGTTCGTATATATCATTGCATATACAAATGATCGGCCGTCTCAACAGATGACGTTCTGGCTTGCTTTTACCTTTCGCTCTAACTTTGTTTATCACATTGTCGCTCACGAATTTGACAAGAAATTCAATTGATTGGCGTGGCGCACCATCGATTTCATCTATAATTTTGTTTTATTATAGGCTATTTGAATATGAAAATTATAAAAAAAAAAATCACCTACCCAGCACAATACAATTTGGTCGTCGATCTTCGTTTAGTACCGATGACATTTGTGTTCCACTCTCCAGTGCTTGCTTAAAAGCTTCGGGACTGCGATCATCTGAAGCGTTTATTTCCCTAACAGCGTATCCGGCATGTCGTGCAATTGTGTGTGCGAGCGTAGTTTTACCCAGACCGGGTGGTCCGCAAAGTAAGGCAACTTTTTGCATCGGCCGCCCATGTTCATCTAAATTGGTATCCAACATAGATTGAAACTTTCTTTTTCGCCAACCGCCATTCGATTCGAATTTGCCAGTTCGTTTGTTAAACGTATTCAAATTGTTGCTCGTAATATTGGTATTGTGCTCTTCTTTCTTTTTGAATTCCCTAAAAATAAGATTTAGTAGTTAGAAAACATATTCGTTTAGTTATGTTCACAACACACCTGCCAAATACCATTTTGTCCCACATTTTTAGCCAATATAATAAACTTCGATTAGTTGCCTCATCAGATAGCAGATCTATGTATTTCCGTGGTTTAAATTTTTCCACCCATAATTGTTCGTCTTGACTTGATTCTTCCGCACTTGTTGCGGGCAATGTTGCAGCTTGTTGTTGTACATTCTCTTGTTGTTGCTGTGATGGAGTACTAGCGCTTTTTAAAACCTATAACAAAAAAAAAAAAAATTGGAAAATTTCAAATAATTTTCCTGCAAAAGTACATAAAATTTACGCACAATATCATTTGCCTCTGCCCATATACGTTGTTTGTTTTCGCCCAGAAGGCCATCGAATTGCGAGATGGCACGTACATCCTCCAACGCATGATTTTCATACTCCTCCGAATGAAAACGTACGAAAACGCGTTCGCGATCTCCCCTTCGTAACACTTGGAAAGGCCATTGAGGTACGGTGTATGACAAATTACGCTTTTTAAATTCATGCAATGCCTTTAAACGTGAAAGATCATCCTTCCGTACCGCTTTATTATTTTCTTGCAAACGCCGACGTGTTTCTATAATTTTTTCAATCATTTCTAAATCACGTTCTTCTTCTGTACGTGCTTTTTTTGCAACTGGATCTTCGTAAGTTTCATTTTGATATAAATCATCTATGTCACCGAAAAGGTCACGTTCCAACCGTCTTTTATTTCTCAAACCCATTCCTTGCAGTTCCACTGCAGGTTCGTTGATTTCTTCCAAAGCTTCACATTCTGTCAATGGTGTTAGAGCAACTACTTCTTCTATTGGAGCTAGAGCAGCACGCTGCTTGATTGTGGGAAGGGGAGTCGAAGATATTCTTTTATGTGGTCCGCTAGGAGTTCCGAAGAGACGTCTGTTCACAACAGTACTAGTACTAACGCTAATGCCCGAGATTTGTGAAAGGTGTGGTGAATCAATGGTGTCGACAGCATTAACAGAATTAATAGTGTTATTATGGTTTATGGTAGTGTTAGGCACAAAAATCTCTGCAATAAAGGGGTAAAATAACGGAATCGCAATTTGCAATTTTTGTATATGCTTACCACCCCCTTCAGGAGGCAAAACGTCCAACATTTCCAACTCCTCCTGGTAACGAAGCTCAAATTCTTCATCCTCATCGGGATACTGATCCATTTTAACGTTATAGTAAACACTCAATGCAAAGACCGCTTTAATCACGACCAAATTGAAGCACCTATTGAAAAACTTCTAAATGACGCCTCCAAAAAATTTGGCGAGGCGAATTATCTCAGAAAGCAACAATAGTAAGCGAAAAATCCAGACAATAACAGTTATGTTTCCCCACTCGGAATTGTTGTCTTTTCCATGGTAAATAAACTGTCAATAATGGCGCCAATACAGTGGCCAGAGCTTTCAAAATTGTTTACATTTGCAGGCAAAGTGATTTTACAAGACGTCTACACCACTGCAAAGAAAAAAAATGCACTCTTAACGGTTATAGTGTTGGGAACATATCAAAAGCTATAAAAGCAATGTAAATTTATTTCACTTTTTAATTTTGGTTTTATTATATCTTGCATACCTAGATAAAAGTGTTGAGAAAGGGTGATTTATACTTTTTATTTTATAGATGCTGTCACGATATGGTTAATTGCGTACTATTGAAAAATACCAACATTATTTAGGAAGCACTCTTCGCAAAAGCAACCCTGAGTTTTTCGACGGCCATTGATTGATCAAAATAGTTAAATTTTTATCTGAGATTAATTGCTTCGCTTCTATATTAAACGGGATACCAGTCTTATTGGTTTTTAGGAGAATATAAAAGTTAAAAACTTAAATATATAATTATTGTAACAAATAAATAAGTGAATATTATTGAAGTAAAATTTTTATTGGACAAAGGGCAATATATTGCCTTTGGTGTGGCGAATTCACACCACAACTAAATCCACTGTCCTAAAAATCTTACCACGTTACAGAGGAATCCAGCGAAATGGATCCAAACTACGCGACATCTTAGCAAATTCTCTTCCTGGTGGAGGCAACGCACAAGTCCGCGAAACGCTCCATAACATCGATAGCTGTCGTACTTGGTGTGATTTTACTCCAGCACAGAGAAAATATTTCAACTAACTCCTATCCCCTTCATAACCATATTTATAATACCTGTTTTTTTAATCCTTACACCTAATTAATACAACCGGATAAATATGTTCCCAACTGACCACCAAAGTTATTTTATAATGACATACTACCTCGGCTAGTCGTCAATAGCGGCTGCTTCAATATTCAACTATAACAAATATCCAAAGACGCATTACTACATATACATACATCTTGTAAGTTTTCCACTTCAATAACATTATTATCAGGAAATATAGCATTATACTGCAAATGTAAGGAGAGTGTGCGTGCAACAGCGGGTTCAACAAACTTATATACATATGAGGAATCTCATGCAATACATTTACACAACAACATTTTATATATATTTGTAGCCAGGTGAGTAAGAGAAATATATGTGCTTAAAGTGATGTTGCTGCATATCTGTTTAGAAACAGCTGATTACACAAATAGTATCAACAACATTCCATGACACATCAAGAACGTTTAAGAACGCCAAGTTATTCAATTTGGCAATTTATACTAGTTAGACACAAAAAAAAAAAAAAAAATTAGATTCTAGGGTATGCCATTTGTATGGCAAATGATATACAATGGAACCTCGCAACTGTGAAAATCAGTGTCCGCTGTTTGATTTCATTATTGACAAACAAAAACAGTACAAATCTCATTAAGGAAATTTATAATCAGCATTATTATGTACATTCATACGTACATATATGTATCTGTAGTTACGTATACCCGCGCACAGTAACACAATTGCTTGGTTTAATGCTATTTGATAAAGTAGGCCTTTGATAAAGAGCAGCCACACTTTACTTTCAGTCCTTTTTTTCAACTTTTTCAAGTTTTGTTATCAATCAATTTATATTTCATTGCATTCTTGCTTTTCTTTACAGATATTGATATTTTTTTCATTCGTTCATTGAGCATATTTTGACAATATAATATTTCTGTGCGTATTATTCAACATATTTCTGAAATTCCCGAATATTTCATTTGTAATACAACTGTAAAATGCAACGGTGGTTTTTCGCTGATGAGGCCGAGGATTGCGATGCCATGGCGGCGCCTGTGGCATCATCGTCCTCAGTGGAGTTGTTTCAACCTGCTACACCGGTACATGTCAACTGGAAATTTTGGATTCAAGTAAATCAAGATTTAGCGCCTAATGAGCGTCTGGCCATTGTGGGAAGCACCGAACGTCTGGGCAATTGGCAGTTTAGCGAGTGTATAGTCATGATGAAGGAAGATGGTGAGTGGGCATTGCACCCGCACCAAGCGGCGGGGTGGACTCTAACCACGTTATTCTACATTTTTTAGACAAGAATCTATGGTACACCTATGTTAGCATTCCCCGTGATACACGCACCGACTACCGTTATTTAGTGGTTGCAGTCGATCCGACAGCTGAAAAAACAATTGTGCGCAATTGGGAGGCCCATCTAAAGCCACGTTTTGTCATACCCGGTGTAAATCGCAAGACTAGGGAGTGCGACGAAGAATATGGTTACGTAAATGGTGTTGAGAAAGTGGACCGTGGCTGGGTAACATCTGAGACAATTGTACAATTGAAATTTTTCAATGCACCCTTCACATGGAAACAACGCATGAAGCGGCGTTTAATCTTTGTTAAAGTGACACCAATGAACTTGACGATACCGCACGGTGGCGGTGCTGGCGGCGGTGCCGGTGGTGATTACCATACGTTTTCACAACTCGAAGATTCACTGTCAAACGACACGCACGATACACGTGAGAATGGTGCAGATCTTAGCACCGCTTTCGCTTTCAACGAAGTAGCCGTGTTACAAGCTGACGAGTCCGTCATAAAAGTACAACCACAATTCGGCACAGCTTGTGGTCCTGATGACGTAGTAATTTTCCATTTGACAATCGGTGATTTCGATAGTACTGCCTATCTCATTGATTTATATTCGTACAGCTCAAAAGCAGCCATGGATGAGCCGCCCTACCACCTCGGTTATCACTATGTTTTGCCCAATTTACTCAAACGCTCTGATGGTAACCTGGAAGTACCCATAACATGCGCAACACGCCATCGGCCAATGGGCATGATGCAGATAGGCTATTTGCTGGTGAAACCAACCAAGTGCATTAAGTTGGACATGGCGCTGACATATACGCGCTATTGGAACCCCAAATGGACTGGTTTGGATGTGGGGCATCGCGGTTCGGGCACCAGTTTCAAGACAAAGGATTCTGTGATACGCGAAAACACAATTACTTCGCTGAAGAATGCCGTCGAGCATGGCGCCGATATGGTTGAGTTCGATGTACAACTGAGCAAGGATTTGGTGCCGGTAGTCTATCATGACTTCATGATCTATGTGTCGCTCAAAGCGAAAGGCAGCTGCAAGCCGAATGATTTTCTGGAGTTACCAATGCGTGAGCTAACGTTGGATCAACTGAACAATTTGAAGGTAGTCCAGAAATGTTGCTCTAAAAACATTTTGTTTTCATTAATGCTATTCTTTCAACCTTTTAGGTTTATCACACACAAGAGGGCCGTACACGCGAAGAGCGTTGCTTTCACAACGATGATCAGCTGGAGCATCAACCATTTCCCAGCCTTGCGGACGTCTTGGATGCCATCGATCAACATGTTGGCTTCAATATAGAAGTGAAATGGTCACAGCGGCTCAAAGATGGCACCATGGAGGAGGAATTCGAGCATACTATCGACCGCAATTTGTATGTGGACTGCATTTTGAATGTGGTATTCCGCAAAGCTGGCGATCGACGCGTTGTATTCTCATGTTTCGACCCTGACATTTGCACCATGCTGCGCTTTAAGCAAAATCGTTACCCGGTTATGTTCTTGACTCTCGGTGAAACGACGAAATATCAAAAATATCTAGATCCACGCGGCAACACCATTGAAATGGCTATATATAACTCCTTAGCCATGGAGTTGTTGGGCATTGTAGCGCACACTGAAGACCTGTTACGTGATCCCACAAAGGTAAAGAGAAATGTGACTAAAAAAGGCTTAAAATATTTTACTGAAACTTTCACTATTTGTCTAAAAACAGGTGAATTTAGCTAAAAGCAGCGGCTTGGTGGTATTTTGCTGGGGTGACGACAATAACTGCAAGGATACAATTAAATTCCTCAAAGAATTGGGCTTGCATGCCATAATTTACGATAAAATGGATGTGCTCACCAGCAAAGAAGTGAAGGTAACTACTCTCGTACACAAATTTAAAACACAACAATTAATTGCTATTTATTACAACAACAGCAAAGCGTGTTCCTGCTGCAAGCCAAGGAGAGCCAAAATGAAATACTCAAACTACAGGCGCTGGAAATGGGCAAACTCTGGCACGACAATGTACCGGTAGTGCATAAAAAGCACTAATAATTCACGACGCAGACGCATATGATATTTTATTTAAGTTACATTTGCAGTAGTTGCTAAATTAACGCAATAATTATCATAAAAATTAAAATAATTCACCAGAAACTAGTTCATTCCCTCTACCAAATCCTCTTCATTCGTATATATATATATATTTAATCACGTAATGCGTARGTTTAGTAGCATAATCTCCTTTTTTTTTTATAAATTATCCTACATAATGCATGTACATATGTTCAAATTAGTAAATACTTTTTTTATTATGATTTTTTATATATTACCCAGTTAGCGAAAATTGTTAAATTATGACACCAATTACATAACGCAAAACATTAAAACTGTGTTCCGCGCAGAAATTGAACGCTTTCCACTTTTATAAATGTATATACAATTGAATTAATGCACATCAGCTCGTAAATTACCGACCACGTGCACATTCTATTACTCAAGTTTATCTGTGGCGTTTTGTATTCGGTGCATTTCGAATATTTTTTGCAAAAGAATTAGTAAATATATTTGAAATTGTGTACGGGTAGGCGAAAATTTTAAGAAAAGAACAATAAAATTAGGATACAGTTAAAAGAAAGAAAAGGTCCAACCAAAAATTGTAAGAAGACCCGAGAAGCATATTTAGAGACTTCATAGGAAAATGTACTAAATAAATCATGCTAATAAATATTCATGAAATTATACAAACAATTGACTTTTATAATTTGTGGGCTTTGAAAGCCATAATGAAAAAATCCGGTTCCAGTTGCGCAGACCCAATTGTCGTTCAAACTCAAGTTAGCTAGGTCATGTCCGGATAGATGAGAATACTCCAGCTTTGGAAAGTATTCTCTTCAGTACCCGCCGGGGGAAGCAGAAGAAGAGGAAAATCTCTAGAAATATGTCGCTAGAGAACAAGTGAAAGACTTTGCTGCACTTGATATCCCCAAATGGCGCCCAATTGTGAAGATAAGAAACGACTGATGCTTTGTTAACTATGCTATGAGAGACAAGAAAAAAGAAAGAACAAACAACTTGACTAAGTAGAAAACTTTGTATAATATAGAATATTCTGTAAATATTTTCGAGTATGCTGGTGAGTTGTCAGCCTGTGGCGAGATGAAAATACGTCTGCGAATAGCGGCAGAGAAGCTTCCCAAATTAGTTTTTTGCAGCCAAGTTAAGAAGACTTTGGTCGGATAAAATTCCGGATTCGTAGACCCGACTTTCCAACCTATTATCAGAGACTGAGAAATAATTTTGTAATTTGTTTCATTTCTTTGCATGGAGTGCTCGATTTCTTACCTAACTGCGGCTGAAGTCATAAAGAGGACTTTTTTTTCAAGTTCTCTATTGTCCATCTTAAAGAATAAAAAAAACTTCTTGACTTTTTCAGTGGTATATTTTGGCAAAGTATACCTATGGAACCACAAATCATGGAAACATACTCGCGGTCTTATGAAGAATTCAAATGTCAACATTGAAAGGGCAACACTTCTTCAAGCAAGGTCAATACACCATTTGAAGTAGAAAGCGATAGAACTTCAGAGATACTCAAAAAGGTCTAAATCAGCTTATCAATAATGAGTTGGCGGCTCATCTTGAGGAAGACGTTTTAACTATTTATTAAGGTATCAATGTTTTTAGTTCGAAACCCTTACGCTTAGTATGTGCTTGTTTCAACTATTCGAGGTTATGGTTGCTCCCACAGGGCTGCCAAAATTGGCTAACAGTATTATCGTCCCTATCAGAAAATAGATTCCGCCGGTGCTTTTCTTAAGAAATTGCAAACCTACGAGAATAAACCGAATAAGGCCGATATGTTTACAAACTTTGAAGAAGGACTTATTGCTATTTAAAACACCTGTAGACAAAGCAGTGGTTATTGAAAGGAATTTATGGATTTAAGGAGTATCCCCCTAACTGATACCAACCACTGACACTCAACTTTCACTCACTCAAAAATTATGCTGAAAGCGACATCTGTCGTTAGACTGCAATTAGCAGAAAGCTCATACGCCCACACTGCCACAGAGGTCGCCGGCAACGCAATGGCGATGACGACGACGTTAATGATAAAGTAAACATCGCCACAGTGAAATTGTTTATATCCGTCAACGCGACAGCGATGGCTGCTGCACTGTGTACAAAGAAAACGAGGGGAAACACGGAGAGCAAGAAGAAGCAGAAGCAGAAGCAGAAGAAGAGCAAGACAAACTGCCAGAAAGGTGTTGTTTTGGCAATGAGCTTAACGGTTAAGTCAGTTAGTGAAAGAATTTCGGACTGGTGAAACGTGTAAACGGAAAGCAATAACGGCAGAGTGAAAAATAGCTCAAGAAGAAAAAAAGTAAAATAAAATAAAAAAATAATGAGAAAAATAAAATAAAATTTAAGTGGAAAAGCATAAGAGAATAAAAAGTTGCAAGTCGAATAGCACTAATAGTAATAATAATAATAATAATAGCAGAAAGGCAAGCGTTTTGTGGCAGCTAATAGAAAATAGTATGTAGTGAAGTGAGCGAGTCAGCGAGCGAGTGAGTTGTGGCAGCACGGGAAGTGGTTGCGGCAGGCGAAGCAGGGCAGCAGTGGCAGCAACAGCATTATTGTACGTACACACACCAAGTGGAAAGAAGTGATAGAAAAAAGTTGAGAAAATCTAAAACTCCACAAAACACGGAGCAAAAGCGAAGTGTGTGGCAAGGAATAGCAAGCAAAAAAGAAATAAGAAATAAAAAATAAATAAGAAAAATATAAATACGAAGAAAGGAAGTTCGAAAAAAAGGAAATTCGAAAAAAATCGCAGCGAAAAAAGTGTAAAAAATTTACAGTTAAAGTGTGAAAAGTTGTGCCGCAGCGCTGAATGCAAGCGTGTGGAGCGGCGAGCAGCGTAATTGGGGCAGCAGCAGCAGCAGCATTAACGGCAGCCAGGAATTCGCGACACTAGTGGTGCCACATAGGTGAGACTAACGGCAAACGTGTTTGGCTGTGTGGCAAAAGCACTGCCATTTGCAGGACACAAAGTAGTCAGCGGAGTGATTGCCAACGCTGACAGCTGAAATGCTGAAATTTCGTTCAAAAAGAAAAAATAACAAAAAACAACAACAACAATAATAACAAAAAACGAGTGGCGTGGAAATGATTACAAAATAATAAGTGTAGCATATACATACATATGTACATACAAACTTGCATGCATGTGTATGTAAAAAACGGTATTTTCATACAAATGTGCATGTGTGTGAGTGCATGCGTGTGCGTGTGAGTGCCTAAATAGTCAATTAATTTGAGGCAACATAAAAAGTACCGCAGCACAGGTGGCGGTGTAGGCGCGGCATGGCCGCACGAAAACAACAAAAAATGAAAACAACAACAACAAAAACGCACTTTGAACAAAAAGTAATAGAAAATGTTGTTGTTGTTGCAAGGATTGTCGGAATTTTACTATGCATGCTTGCGTGCCACAACTTGCGGTTGTTGCTGTTGTTGTTGTAGCGCTTTTATTACTACACTGGCAGCGCCTGCGGCAGGCGAAGAGCAGCAGCTTAATAAAAGTGTAAAGCTAAATGTAGAACCTGAGAATTGTAAATTGAAAACTGATAAACAAGGAAATAAACGCGTCAACATGCGCGCAAACACACACACACACGCACACAAAAAACTACAAATGTAGGCATGCATATGTGACATACATACCGTTATATATATGTACATATGTGTGTGCGCCAGCGAAAGTGGGCCGTAGTGAAGGTAAACTTTGACACAATTAAAAAAGCGTGCGGCAGCGGGTGGCCATAAAGGATACAAATAGCTAACAGTGTACGCGTGTGTGTGTGTGTATGTGTGCATACATAGCTACCAGTATATGCTTGCATGTTGCCGCAGTGTTGAAAAACACCGCAACAGCCGTAGTGAGGCGTGTATATGTGTGCATAAATACAGCTGTGTGAGTGTGGTGACACGTGAGCCGCTTGGCAGATTGCTCATACGCCATGTTGGTCGGTAGGCAGCGGTGTGGTGGTTGGACGGTCGGACGTTTGAACCTTTATTTGGGCGGTCAGACGGCGTCTAGCTTGGAAACCAGTTTGCCGCTGGCCACACGACTGTTATATATGCATGTGTGTGTGTGTGAGCATGTGTGGCTGACTGCCCATATGCGCTGCGGGCATGCTGCTGGCAAAACTAATGATTGTGCACTTGCTGTAATGAAACAACAAAGGGAAAAACACAAGCAAACACATACATACAAACACACATAAAACCAACTCACATATATACATACATATACAAATACAAGCGGGCATGCTTGTAGTTGGCTTTGTGCTTGACGTTTTTTGCCGCCGCACAGCACATAATTATAGTGTGTTAAGTGAAGTTTTAAAAATACATGCCGCATTGCCTTGAACAACAAAAATAAACAGTTTACTATATATGTGAAAAAAAGAAGAGTTGTTGCAAAAAATGGGGCAAGACACAAAAATAACAACAGCAAACAGGACCAATGGGCGAAAAATCGATGCAACTCAGCAACAACAGTCGAGCGAAGTGTGACACCCTATTCGCCAAACAGAGTTGTGAAGTTGTGCACAAAAACAGCAAGCAGACATGCACACACACATTCGCGCACACACAAAAAAACTTGTAAATATGCAAACTACTTGCTGAAAAAGCAGTAGCCAAAATATTTAAAAATAAAAAATTTGAAAACAAGGCAAAACATTTACTACGGCCGCGCTAAAACTATAATAGCCTACACAGGTGCATTTTTTATAACAGAAAAGGGCATAAAGAAGGTTGATCTTGAATTTTAGCGGTCAGTTTGTATGGCAGCTATATGCTATGGTGCTCCGATTTGAATAATTTTCAAGCAAATTGTGGCATTGCTTAAAATAAAAATCTCTGGGAAATTTCGTGTAGATATCTTTTCAAATGTAAAAGTTTTCCATACAAAAATTTGTATTTGATCGGTCAGTTTGTATGGCAGCTATACGCTATAGTGGCTTGATTCGAACAAGTTTTACGCAGATTGTGGCATTGTTTGCAATAAAAGTCTGTGTCGAATTTCGTGTAGATATCTCTTCAAATGAAACAGTTTTCCATACAAGGACTTGAACTTGATCGGTCAGTTTGTATGGCAGCTATATGCTATAGTAATCGAAAATCAGTGATTCTGAAAAATAAGCAGGTTCATGGCGAGAAAAAGATATGTGCAAAATTCCAGACCGATATCTCAAAAACTGAGGTACTAATTCGCGTATATAAGCACAGACAAGCCGACGGATATCCCTAAATCGAATCAGCTCATTCCGCTTATAGTTGATATATATACATATGTGACCTGGTCTGCGAAAAGGGAGCTATCGTGCGAAAACTAGTTTTCTATCACGTGAAAAAGCATCTCATCTTCCCTCCGAAGCAAACTAAAAAGTGAAAATTGATTTTTTGACACCTAACCCCTTTCCGTATATATATATATATATATATATATATAATTGCATTTTATAGCGTCTTCAAAGTTTCCTTCTGTGTTTTACAGAACTCATGGCAAACTGCATATATCCTGTGCTGGGTATAAATATAATATAATAAAAAATGTGGATGCTTGAAAAAAGCGTATAAATTAAACTAAATATTTACCCACAATCACACATACACGCACTAACAAAAACATCGACACAATCTTACTCGCACACTTGGCGGAATATCCATTTGCAGTAGTATTTTTTCGCATTTGGCAAAAAGTGCACATAACCGAGCAAATGTTACTTTTTCATCAAACACCTTCAGGGAATTGCCAGAAAAGCTTTCAGAAAAACATAGTTCTCACCACAATAATAACAAAAACACACATGCAAATGTATGTATGTCTGTGGTACACGCCTCATCAATTATAGATTAATGTTCACACTTAAAAATTGAAGTGTTAAAAATTGAAAGCGAAAATCTGAGCAACAGTCTTTTGCAAATGCCAGCAATGAAAATATTTGCCCATAAACATTAATAAGCAATTGAAATTATTTATTTAAAATTGCATAAGGCAACATGTTCTGGGAAAGTGTTAATGTAAATCAATTTTATATGAAATTATATTTTCAAAAATTATTTTCGTGTATATTTTTGATGTGTTTTGAAGTGTTGCGAATGTGTTGCTGATGTGTTTGGCATGTTCGGGCATTGTGGTTTGAAATTTGTGCCAATAAAAGTGCTTGAGTTATAATCGAATAAAATAAATCTTAAATGCTTTTGCTAAATATATTTATGGATTTTTTTTCCAAATTTGGTTTTGTGTTATAAGAACGCTCAAACGTTTCGAAAGTTAGTTAGTATTTGTAACAATAAGTGAAAGCAACTGAGTAAGTTTATTTAAAATTTTTGGAGTGCTGGAAAATCATGTTCGAGTTTTTAGGAAAATGCGAGTTACGCAGCTGGGTTTTTGAAGTTAAAGTTGATGGATTTAAATACCCGAAACTTGTAAATAAAACGCAAAATATTTGCATATTTATCATATCTTATCTCAACGAGTTTCCAGTCCTTGAAACACTTTCCATAAGCACTCTTTCATCTCTTTGATCGACTTAAAACGTCCACAAAGCGGCAATTTCAGTGTGAGGAACAAGATAAAATCACACGGAGCCAAATCTGGTGAATACCGTGGATGATTGATGGTTATTCATTGCGCTTACGACTTTAAATTCGGTCACAATCATACTTTTTTTTGAAAAAAAATTCAACTCATCAGGGACAAATCTCAAGTCAAGTCTCTATAAGACTTGCTGACAATTTTCAAGCACTATATTAATTTTATTTTTTAATTGAAGACATTTAGCAACATTTTTAGAAAAATTCAGCATATTTGTAGCATGAGAAAATTGCTCTTAACAACCCAATATCTCTTTGAGTGCATTTTATAATATATATAAATCTACAGAGTTTTCCAATGGATTTAGTTGTATGACATAAGTATGATACATTTTCGGTAGCACTACTTTTCCTTAATTCTATAAAGAAGGTCTATAAGGTACTCTCCACAAATAGATGGCCACCATTGCCGATTTCACAAGAAATATTTTTCGCGATGAAGCCCACTTTTGGTTGAATGTATATGTTAATACACAAAACTATTGCATTTGGAGCGTTGTGAACAAAAATACCACTGCTATTAGTCCGTATTTCTTAAAAATTGAAGCCGGTTCTAATGTTCAGCCAATGGGGAACTTAACTGAATTGGATGATGTTAATGTGGACGACCTTTAGTTTCAACAAGATGACGCCATATGTGATATAGTCAACGAAACAATTAATTTTATTGAAAGAAACTTTTGGTGAGCGTATCATCTAGCGTCATGGGCCTATAGCGTGGCTTCTCAGATCGTACAATTTAACAGTGCTATATTATTTTTTCTGGGGTTACGTAAAGTTATTTGTTAGGAGATGATCTACGTAGATAAGACCGAGACGCTTACGAATTTGCTTTGCTCAAATGCTGCGAAAAGTGGGAGAAATTTGAACTTTAGGCTGGAATTTATACGAGCGGCAGTCGCTTGCCCGAAATTATTTTTAAAACATAATGGCAAATCTTTATATTTAATAATGTATTAAATTCGATTTATTAAGGATCTAAAAAATTTTTTCGTTTTAAAATAGAGTTAAAATGATAACAATGCTAGAGTTTGGACTTTTTACACCACAACCAATTATCTAGTCTGTGACTGAATTTTTTCGTAAACTTTCTCTAGCTTCCAGCGTACGGCTACAAAAGGTTTGTCTACCGAGCCTTTACTCTGCCAAAAGCCGATTGGTTCAGAGCTACACCTAATTAGTATTTATATATGCATACGGGCTATTTTTTGCACTAAACACATAGAGTGCCAGTAATTAATGTATCTGCAGCGGCAGCTTTGCTATATGAGACGCATTTTTACTACTTTAAAGTTAGACAATTAGGCAAGAAACGACTCAG